CCCCCCCCCCCCCCCTTCTTTTCTTGGGCTTGCATGGGGTAACTGTGGAGGAGTTCGAACTCGGGTGTACTTATCACAGGTGCTGTTTATAGTGCTGTAGACTCCAGGATTTGCGTAAAACCATAGCCTTTTGTTGTTGAAGATTGGGAGGCAGTAAATTTTGCAGTTAGTTAGTTGATAGAGTGCTTCTGAAAGTTTTTCGACCGCTGTTTCTGTGATTTTTTTCATTTTCTACACCCAACCCCCGGTCATCGGCGCTGCATCTGGACTGACAGTGGCCCCAAATGCAGCTATAATGACTGGGCGTTCTATTCGGGTGAAGGCGGTAGAGCCTTTCTTGGGATCGTCTGAGGTAACTGTGCTTCCCGCTCTAAGCCTGGCCGGTGATGCCATCGGCGAGAGGGAACACAACACTCAGATTGTCACACAACACTCAGATTGTCAAGGGACGCCGGGCCCGTTTCCCGGCTTGTACAATAAAAAGCTGTCTTTATAAAAATAAAAAATAAAAAAGGAATTATTGAGGTGGTAGGGGAAAAAAAAAAATTGCACGGAAGGAGTTAGGGCATACTCACACGAGGCCCTCAAAATTGCAAAATCGCAAAATGAGTGGCCAGATTGGGTCCTTGTACCGCGATCTGGCCGCTCGTTTTGTTATTTTGTGATTTTGAGGGCCTGTTGTGACCATACTCATAGTATACATATGTGGAATGTTAGGCAATTTTCTTCTCTTTTTCACTTTCTCCTTCCGCCCACGGCCCCGCCCGCCCCCCCTTTTTTCATGGCCTCTGTAATTCTTTCTCTGTTAGCCAAATTTGGTTAGACCTAGAAAATATTAAAAATGGTTCATCATCTTGGCACTATGAGGGTTGACCTCCCTTCCCTTCTAAAGTGTGTCCATTTAATTGAAAAAAAAAACTGGGCTACCAGCTGTGCCGCCCGGGTCCCCAAAGCTGGCACGGGACCTGCCCGGGCCGGCTGGGCAACTGCCCCTTCTGGGCGGCCGGGCCCGTGCGGGTCTGGTAACCCAGAAAAAACAAAAAAACGAAACGAAAAAACGTATGTATCGAATGGTGCGAGTGCACACCTTTTCCTTTTTTTTTTTTTTTTTTTTTTTTTTAAGCCGAAAGGTCGAGAATTGTATGCATTGAATGGTGCACGCATGCGACTGTTGATGTTGAGCTCGAAAGCGGGTGCAGCGTCTCTGACGTGGCTTTCACTAACTGTTGTTGCTTGGAACATGGGTCCAATATTACTGACAAGGCTCCAAAATCAGTTTTTAGTACTTTTTACACAGGCGGCATTGATTACCCCTCTGTGGAGGGGAGTGAGCACTGATTACCCTCCTCCATGGAGGGGGAGCATTTGATTACCCTCCTCCGTGGAAGGGGAGCTGCAGCGTCTCCGGCGTGGCTTTCACTAACTGTTGTTGCTTGGAACATGGGTCCAAAATCAGTTTTTACACAGGCAGCATTGATTACCCCTCCGTGGAGGGGAGGGAGCACTGATTACCCTCCTCTGTGGAGGGGGAGCATTGATTACCCTCCTCCGAGGAAGGGGAGTGTTGATTACCCTCTGTGGAGGGGATGGACTTGGAGGGGGAGCATTGATTACCCTCTTCCATGGAGGGGGGGCATTGATTACCCTCCTCGTGGAGGGGGAGCATTGATTATCCTCCTCGTTGGAGGGGGAGCATCGATTACACTCGTTCGTGGAGGGGGAGAATTGAATACCCTCGGTGGAGGGGGAGCATCGATTACCCTCCATGGAGGGGATTGACTTGGGAGGGGGAACATTGATTACCCTCCTCCGTGGAGGGGGAGCATTGATTACCCTCCTCCGTGGAAGGGGAGTGTTGATTACCCTCTGTGGAGGGGATGGACTTGGAGGGGGAGCATTGATTACCCTCCTCGTGGAGGGGGAGCATTGCTTACC